TAAGTAATTGATCATTGACGATTTGACATTAGAAATATCATAAATGAAAGAGAGAGAGAGAAAGAGAGAGAGAGAAATCTGAAGGTAGATTAGAATTATAAGGATCCGACTGTCATACTTGCCCCTATTTAATCTTTTGAAAAAAGTATTACCACAGTTTAGAATTATTCTTTTTTCAATATTTTAGTAAGCTAGCAGTTTTTAATATAAAATTGTAAGATTGCATGAATAATTGAAGGAATCTATTTAATTTCATTAACATCATAGCTAAGTAACTGATAATTGACATTTTGAAATGCCCAGATTTGAAAATGATCAAAACAAATGTAGATGAAGACTCAATTTTTAAGGACCAGACTGCCATACTTGCTGCTTCATAATTTTTTGATAGAAGAATTACCACGATTTTGGTTATTTTATAAGAAATTCAAAATTTTCAATCCATAATGATGAAATGTTAGCATGAATTCCAAAAAACCACACTACACAAGCTTATGAAATTTCAGACTCTTACAATGAAAACATTTTATTTTTCAACAAAAAGTACAATTTGTTCTCGTAAAGATAAAAAATCAAATTTTCCATTTTCAAAGTTAAACCAGGATTGTCAATATTAATTTTCAAATCTCTACAAAGAAAACTTATCATGTATCAAGAAGAAGATGTAAGTTCTTGTTGTAATGGTAAAAAAGAGATTTTCCATTTTCAAACTTCATAATCGTAATTTTAAGTCTATTACAATGAAATTTAAGTATGAATAAAAAGCCTCGAGTTTATAGGGAAAAGTTGTCGCCAGGAATACATTCATTTCTGGTACACTGAATAGGCAACCTTGGTTGACAAAGTAGCGAAAACATCTCGACTTCCTCGCAGAAAGTCGTCACCGAGATTGTATTTATACCTAGTGCACTGAATAAGCTGACCGGGTGTACAAAGTTTCGAAAACATCTCGACGTCATTGGGGAAAGTCGTCGCCGGGCTGTATTTGTACCTGGTGCACCGAATAAGCCACCCTGGTGCACAAAATAGCGAGAACATCTCGACTTCCTCGAGGAAAGTCGTCACTGAGATTATATTTATACCTAGTGCACTGAATAAGTCACCCTGGTGCACAAAGTAGCGACAACATCTCGACTTCCTCGAGGAAAGTCGTCACCGAGATTGTATTTATACCTAGTGCACTGAATAAGCCGACCGGGTGTACAAAGTTGCGAAAACATCTCGACGTCATTGGGGAAAGTCGTCGCCGGGCTGTATTTGTACCTGGTGCACCGAATAAGCCACCCTGGTGCACAAAATAGCGAGAACATCTCGACGTCATTGGGGAAAGTCGTCGCCGGGCTGTATTTGTACCTGGTGCACCGAATAAGTCACCCTGGTGTTCAAAGTTTCGAAAACATCTCGACTTCCTCGAGGAAAGTCGTCACTGAGATTATATTTATACCTAGTGCACTGAATAAGCCACCCTGGTGCACAAAGTAGCGAGAACATCTCGACTTCCTCGAGGAAAGTCGTCACCGAGATTGTATTTATACCTAGTGCACTGAATAAGCCGACCGTGTGTACAAAGTTGCGAAAACATCTCGACGTCATTGGGGAAAGTCGTCGCCGGGGCTGTATTTGTACCTAGTTGCACCGAATAAGCCACCCTGGTGCACAAAGTTGCGAAAACATCTCGACTTCCTCGGGGAAAGTCGTCACCGAGATTGTATTTATACCTAGTGCACTGAATAAGCCGACCGGGTGTACAAAGTTTCGAAAACATTACACATAGAGCATCGAGTGGGCTTTCAGGGTATTGTAAAATTTTCGACAAGAAGAGAATCCTCGATTCGATGTATGTAACGAGCAGGTTAGTACGGATGTATTCCTGTGCGGGGACATCGCGACTTCTGGAAGTAATGTCATCGTCGGACTTCGATCTGGTTGGACGAGCGGATCTTCAATCGTTCAATCCGATACATGTACAGCGAGTAGCGTCTACGTATACACACAAATACATAAACTATACGTATATGTATGTTGCGCGAGAACACGTATACTATACTCTGCGTGAGAACACTTGTATACACTAGCGTGATAACATTTTCAGCGTGAGGACACTTTTCATGCGACTCATTTATTCACTTTCGTTTCTGTAGGAAATAGTGGACCGTTGGAAAATCTAAATAGCTCATATTGATAGGATTTTTTCCAAGGAATCTGATGGGTTTATCAGATTTTCGATAACTCTTATCAAATTCAAATGAGAGCGAAAAGAAAGTCTGCGGGAAGTTATGGGCTGTATATGAGTAGCGGCGTGTTTGTTAGTTCCTGTCATACTTGCCAGGTGGAGCGCGACACGCGCTCCTCGATTTCAATAGAAAAATTAATGTCGTACTGGTACACGTTCAAACAATCAATTTTTTCAGTAATTTTTAGGGCCGCGCTCAAATACTACTTGTAACTCGATATTGATTCGAACCTAATCATAGTATATATGGATTCGAAGAGGACAAAATTTCCAAGAAATCAAAAAACAATCGTGTTGTTTATTATAAAAGTACCTATGTATTATTATACGTGATATACGTTATTGTTATAAAAGTACCTGTCACGCATCCGGTGGATTTACGGTGGAGGAGCAGTGGAGGAGCAGTGGGGGAGCAGTGGGGAGCAGTAATAATTTATAGAGGGAAAAACACCGGAAATCATGTAAAAATCACGTGAATTTCACATTTTTGAAAAAATTGTGGGGGAGCAGGTGGAAATTTTGGGGAGCAAGCGAACCACATCCTCTCTTCTATATAGTAATAAAGATAATAAGATATATATATGGGTCCGATTCAGAATTTTTCAAATAAACCTGCGGGCGAGGTTCACGGATTTTCCTGAAATTTTGGTATGTTATAGTACATCATAAAAGGATCCCAAAACCAAAATTTTGGACCCCCTCTCCCTTCCTACCCCCCTCCTACCCTATAAACATCCATTGTCTATCTATATTTTTTCTGAAGGCCTGAAGCTATTAACAAATCTGAAAAAATTCATGAAGGTACTTTTTAACAATCCAAACAATCTTGAATTTTTTCAGATATTTAGAGTACTTCAGGCCTTCAGGAAAAATCATTGAAAATTTAAATTATTTTATTTTCAGTGAAATGGTTCGATATACCAGACCAGAATTTTAATAAATTTTGACCGTTTCAAAAGTTCGATTGAAGCTTCCTAGCTCATTCTAGAGCATAATACAGATTAATGCGAAATTCTGAAGACATCTGAAAAAAATGTAAATATGATGAATGTCTTCAGAATTTCGCATTAATCTTTGTTATGCTCTAAAATGAGCTAGGAAGCTTCAATCAAACTCTTGAAATGGTCAAAATTTATTAAAATTTGACCAGGAATTCAAAAAAAAAATTTCAAATTTTTTTACCGGAACCATCGGGTTCCAAGAACCATTTTTGTTTAAAATAACGTTTTTTGGCTCCAGACGCTATCGACTTCAATTAAAAAATCTAAAAAAATTTGAGATTATGTATTTTGATGAAGAAAATGAGAAAAAAATTTTTCCAGATTTTTCGAGCCTTCGTATTGCCTCAAAAAAATTATTTTCGTGAAAAAAAGCGGTTTTTCAGCTCCAGGCTTCATGGGCATGAATGAAAAATTCTGAAAAAATTCAAGGAATCGTTTTTTGATGTCAGAATTAAGAAAAAAATACCCCGGTCTGGTATATCGAACTATTTAACCGAAAATGAAACAATTGTAATTTTCAATGATTTTTTCTGAAGGCCTGGAGCACTCAAAAAATCTGAAAAAATTCAAGGTGGTTTGGATTGTTGGAAAGTACTTTTGTAAATTTTCCAGATTTTTTAATAGCTTCAGGCCTTCAGAAAAAATATGGATGGAAAATGGACGTTTATAGGAGAGGAGGGGGGTAGGAGGGGGGAGGGGGTCTAAAATTATGGTTTTGGGACCCTTTTATGATGTACTATAACATACCAAAATTTCAGGAAAATCCGTGAACCTCGTCCGCAGGTTTATTTGAAAAATTCTGAATCTGACCCATATATTTCTGTGAATTATACTAAACGCTACAACCTTGTTATTTCTCTCAAATTCATGTTAATCGTATTGTAATATTGTCTATTTTTTTAGATTAAGTGTTAGATTTAGAAGTAAATTACTCTTTACTTTTGTACTTCGCTTAGCTAACAGCGCTCTGGCAACATATTGTACAATTAAGCCAATAAAAACCAACAAACTGAACTCGAGATTCATGAGAGAATGGCTAAGAGTTGTTTCATTCATTTTCTCTAAATGATCATAAAAATATCGGTACTAAATTGGCCGTACATCGCGGTAAAGTTAAAATTTTAAAATTCCGATCGCGGAACTGGAAAGGTGAGGAAAAATCCTATCAAAACAGTCAATAAAAAAAATTTTTTTTTGAGATTTCAAGTACCTTTCCCCCCTTAAGTCACACGTATCAAAATGTATTATTTTGGCTTTCAGAATTTTCAATGATTTCATCTTTTAAAAAGCCTTGAAAAAGTCAAAAAATCTGATGAAATTCCAGGTTGTTTGAATTATAAGAAAATACCTTCATGAATTTTTTCTGATTTCTTAATTGCTTCAGGGCTTTAGAATAAATATAAATAGAAAATAGATGTTTGTAATGGGGGTTGAGGCAGAAGGGGGGAGCGGTCTAAAATGTTGGTTTTGGGAACCTTATTCTATGTACTATAACATACCAAAAGCGCGTCGAGATCGTTGACATAGGTTCGAACGAAAATTTAAAAAAATTTTATTTTGACGTGTGCTAAATAAATGATTTCCCGATAAGGTTGTGAATAACATGATATTTTTTGAAAATATATGGCAGCATTCGAAAGTATTAAAATTGTGATTTTTGCATTCACGTTTATATCAAAATTATATTTAACTTTGAATTATAAGGTAATCAGTTATAATAAAAATAACTTTCACTAAAACTTTATTTTCGACTTTCATTTTTGCAGGTCACGGAGAAAGGAGGTTCTGTTGTTTTAGTAGGTATGGGTTCTAACGAAGTGAAATTACCATTAATTCAAGCTCTGACAAAAGAAGTTGATATCAAAAGTGTCTTTCGTTACGCAAACGAGTAAGTTTTACAAATAAAATTTTTATTTTGTTAAAATAACATCATTATCAACCATAAACTTATTGAATAACTTTTGAATGATTGTTTGGTTCTGTTCGAGAAATTAACGATGTGTAGCTTGTGCAGGGACGAGCTCACGTGCTATGCAAGTCGGCAGAAACTACTCAGCACGAAATGAGAGATTGCGTCGCGACATGGCCCGTGCCTGCGGCAAATGTCGTCTTTTCGTGTATTTCGCGTCTCGCGCATCACGTATATGCACGCGACGAAGCAACACCTCGCGTGTACCTAGTGCTGTTCCTTTTGTGCTAGTGCGACATTTCCACTTCTGTCTTCTCACCAAAGCATCATCACCAAGAATTCTCACGAGATCGAGAAATACTCTTACGCATCTTATTCATCGTCAAGCAGCTCTCCCGGGTAAACTCAACGACTGCACATCGAGGCGTCTCATTAAGGTCCTGCTCACCGGTCATCAAACTGTATAGATCATGAATTACGACCAGGTACGGAATCCATCCAGACTGCTGTTCAGACCAATATCGTCTACTGCAGGTCTGATGGAATCCTTTCTTTGATTAACACATTGTCTCTGCTTGGCTAATCGCAGTTGCATGAGTACAAGTGAACGAGAGCAAAAGTGAGATTACGTTACAGCTATGTGTAAGCTTACGAGACGCTCTGCCCCTTTAACTCGTCCACTCATATGTTGTAGCTCTGAGGATTAATAACCTCATTTTCTTCGCGTTGACTCGAATGTTGTGAGATCTCTGTGACTGCTCATCGTGAACTTATTAATAACATAAGTGTACTCAACAATTGTAATTTCAAATTTCTATAGCTAATTTGATTGTGTCATTTAAATCTATTTAATTTTAAAAGTGATTAGAGTAAAATAAAGAAAATGAATGAAAATTGTAATCAAAGCGACTCCAGCAGTTTTTTATTGCAAGACTCTCCTATCCACTCAATTATGCATTTCTCAGACTGATTCGCTATTATGAATGCTTATTTATGATAATACGAGTTATTTTTATCGTTTTAATTTATTATTTCAATTTGATTCAATTCAATTCTATTCAATATCATTTTACTATTTCAAGTATTTGTCAATAAAATTAAAAAATTAATTAGTTCAAAACATCAAGATCTGAAAATAGAAAAATCTTGAAAAATGTACAAAAAGAAACATGAAAAATAATTTCACGAAAAAAATCTAAAAAAAAATTATAGTACAAACATGTCACAATATAATTGAAAAAAAAAACAAACATTCAAAATCGAGAGAAATTGAATATTATCTCAAAATGAAAATTCAACCGAAGAAAAGGACTCTGAAGTGTCACTTCTGGTGCTAATTTGTCGACGTAATACAATCTGTCCACCAGAAGTGAGTCATTTTCTCAGGTTAAATTTTCATTTTGTGATTTTATTCAACTTTTCTTGATTTTGAATGTTCGTTTTTTTTTCAATTACATTGAGACATGTTTGTACTTTAATTTTTTTTAGATTTTTTTCATGACATTATATTTCATGCTTTTTTTGTAAATTTTTCAAGATTTTTCTACTTTCATATCTTGATGTTTTTAATTAATTAATTTTGGAGAAGTTTCACTTTTGATGATTATCTATAGACAGCGAACTTAATATTTTCGATTTACTTTTTCAAATTTTTTAGATATTATTTTTCATTGAATTTTGGAAAATAATTAATTTAATTTTTCACCAATACTTTTTAGTTAGTTACAAGATTCCTTAGTGAATGCCGAGGCTGCATCAGCCTTTTTATTTTACAAATGAATTTGATTTAACTCAATGTTTTCGAATCTATTTTTCATACATACTGTTCAACCAATCAACAATCAAACGCGATCAAGGCGCCTAAAAGTATGGAAACCTCCTCAAAGCGGGCTAAATATGTGGAGAAAAAAAATCTAAAACCTCATATCCAGCGTATTTTTTGATAGGGAATCCAACGGTGACCTTAAATTTGACCTAGAACATAACCTAAAAGCTGAAGCAAGTCAAAATCAAATTTTTATACGGTATAAGGGGGTTTTTATGCGTCTGGAATAAATTATAATAAACTGTTTTGTTAGGTTTAATTATAAAAGAGAAGATAATAATTTATTGAATATACAAAAATGAAATTGCCAGTTCGTTGGTCAACGAGAGTAAGGGCGCCACCACGTGATACACGGCAAGTGGACCGTAAATACCAATAATGAAATAATAATAATTAATCGATGATATTCTAATTAAACAGATTTCGTTCGTTGTCAGAATACAATGTTTCACGTCTTCAATTTTTAAATCAATTCTTCTGGCTTAGCAGAGCAATTAACACTCGCGAATATGTCTCGGAGGGACGCGGGGTCAGGGGGGGGGGGGGGGGGNNGGGGGGGGGGGGGGGGTGAAGACTCTAGTTAGTTAGTTTTTAAATGGTTTTTATTTAAAAAATTATCTCTTTATACATTGTATAAAAAAACTCAAACAAAAATACACTCAAATATTAGTATAAATGTACAGAATGTAACACGGTTACTTCGCTGTACTTGAATCTTGCTGTGTAGAGGGCTGAGGCGTTTTCAATAACTGATAACTTGAAAGGTAGAATGCCGATGCAGGAAAAATTACAACATGTGAAAAACTGCGTGGCTCGTGTGTCGTAGAATATAGGTCTGGTTACGCTGGTCTCTCTTTCTTGTTGAAGTAGCTGAAATTTCTTAGTAGCTTTCGATAGAACGGTGACAAACAAGCCAAGTATCGTTATATAGTGGGATGGACTCCTTCTCTTCGCAGCTTGGAACTTTTTTGTTCCTGCAGTGTCTTTTGATGTTGTAGAAGAGATGTTGGTTACTTTTATTAATAATCAGGTCGTTTTCATCGAGGTATTTGAATGTTTCTGGAGGTACAAATCCTGATTCGCAAGCGCGTCTATGATATCCATCGTAGGGAAAGTAGGGTCCTAGATCAAATTATTGAGAGTAAGTTGCATGGAATTTTTTATATGGTTTCTTATTAGCTTCACTATGAATGCTGAATGAAGCCGCGCTGTATAGGTGGCGGTTGCTAATTCTCTTCAGGAAGTCACTATCTGGCGATCTATACAGGCCTGTGCAAGCACGTAGGACTTTTCTCTCAGGGACTCTTATTCTTTCCATCAGACTGCCGCTAATGCTGAACCATATCGGGCAGGCATATGTGATAATGGGGCGGATCAGGCTTTGGTAGGTGATTAGTTTTGCCTTGGTGTCCAAAAGATTATTGCTTAACAGAGGACTTAGTGCTCCGTAAGTTTTATTAGCTTTTTTTAATTGCCCGATAATGTGAGTATCGAATTTTAGCACATTTGTATGCAGCTTCCATTTGGCAAAGATGTTTTTAATATTTTGGAATAGCGCTTGTAAGGTTTCCTTTATTTTGATGATATTTTTGTTTGCTACGTAGATAATCAAATCATCGGCAAAGGCCAGCGATTATTAGTTCAGTCAAATTAAATCTGACCCTATGTTAAAAACCCTATGTTATTATGTGATGAGCTTTACCCTCGTGACTTCCCATCTTGACCATGAATGATCTGCCTTTTATCGAATTACTAATGAGTTTCAGCAGACCTAGTGGTAGCGGTATTTCACTCAGTCTGCAGATCAATCCTTCGTGCCACACTGAATTGAAGGCTTTCCTCAAGATGATTAAGAAAGCACCTATCATATGGTTGTCGTTCAAGTGCAAGTGTAGATCTGCGGATAGCTTGTGTAAGGCGTGTATTGTAGAGTGCTTACTCTTAAAGCCAAATTGCTGTGGTGAGACTGTATTGTCTTTGTAGTAAATTTTTTTCAATGAGAGTTGTATGACTCTCTCAAAGATTTTGCTCATGGATGGTAGTAGGCTAATTGGTCGTAAATTATCTAGGTAGGTAGGTTGATCAAGTTTTTTCTTCAGGATAATTAGTTTGGTAATCTTCCAGCTCTTTGGAAAATATCCGTTATTAAGAGCGTTGTTAAATAGGATTGCATATTTAACTAGAAGGTCAAGGGGAAGATTTTTCAGAGCTATGTTAAAAATATTGTCCCAGCTCAAGGGGAAGACTCTACTGATGCGCGAGAGAGCTCGTAGTTTTCGACTTATAGGTTACTTAAATTAGCTTACTCTATTTCTTCGATCTTCGTCAACAAGTTCGGTGACCGGCTTCCACAAGGCTGGACGTCGTCACCAGGAGTACTTAGAAGGCGGAGAGATGCTTCTCGAGACACACTTTACACTTTTACTTTTACTTTCACTTTCACTTTCGGATTTGCGTTCTTATGATACGACTCGACACGTGCGTAGCGTACAAGCAGAGTTGCAATAATGGCGACTCGCGACGTGGTCACAGTCGTCGTTCGCTTGTGTCGTCTGAAGCGACCCACGAGCGCCAATCGATATTGATCGATAGGTGTCGATAGCTTGGTGTTGGCCGTCTGCTTGTTTCATATATCAACACTGTGTGATTGCGTCTGGTGCGTGTTAGTTTTCATCATTCGTCTGCTGCTGTATATCTTGGTGTTGTCAATGGATTGTTTCATACTCGTATGTATGATGTGAGGTTACGTAAGTAGAAAGTTTGGACATTCAACCTGAGATGCATCTCGACGGGTACGCAGGTGTCGAACTAAACTGTCACCTGTCAAGTGTCATCGACTTAGTGGCATCTTTCTAATCTTGTTCTTTTGTTGTATACATCCGGTGGCAAGAATATCCAGTGTATACGAAGAGGTTTAGGTATGATCTGCTTGTTCATCGTCTGGTTTGTGTCATCTGTTCCATTGTGCTTTACGATGAAGGCATCGTATCAACTGATTCTGTGTGTCTCATCGTGTACTCTTGAGGAGCATCTGTCTCTTGATTAGTATCGTATCGTCTTGATTCTCTGGTCTTTTGGTCACTCTGATGTTCTCGCTTTGCTTTTCTCTCTTTTTTAGGTCTTAAGTGCTGAAGTGTATAGGAGAAGAACATAC